ATGGGTAGGCGGTTGGTGGGAGTAGCGGCGGTGGGGAGGGAAGGTCTCTGGGGGGCTGGTGGTTGGAGGTGTGTGGAGAGTTGAGGGCAGGGAGGGGACCGGTGTGAGGGGAGTCAAACCACGTGAAGAAGCTGTTTAACTCATCTCAAAAGATTTCGATTAATCTGATGCAATAATAGGAGGCAACTTTACAGAGGGTTTAACTTTATAACTCATGGTAGCCCGGGATGTCTCACTTTAGTTACGCAACTAGCTGGTAGCCACGGCCCTCATGTTGCAGATTCTCTGCGGCTCTTTCCTTGTCTCCGTCTCCGGCTCCTTTGGCAAACAGCAATTGGGGCCCGCTGTTGCTCTTTGGCCGGTTAGATTTAGGTTACCAGAGCTGGATTAGCTGCTGCAGGTGTTTTCAGGAAACGTGTTCAACTCGGTTTGGATCGCAGGACGAAAAACAAAAAACATTACATTCAGCGCCATCTGAATTGTAGGAAAAAGGTAGTCTGACTTGGTCCAGCAAACACAGACCTCTCCAGAGGGATTTAATCGCTACTTAGCATAGCCTTCAGCCAGACATGGGCAATGTGGAGTCAACAAGTCATCTCCATGTCATGTATTTAATCTACCCAGCCAATTAACCAGGTGAGTCCAATCTGCACAGGTTAATTCACGGTGAAGATTGGACTCACCTGCTTCAGTGGCTGGGTAGAACAAATACATGACATGGAGATGACTTGTTGACTCCACATTGCCCATGTCTGCCTTCAGCTGAGAACACTGAAACCACCCTAATGGGGCCAAGGGCCAAGTTTCATGATCAACATTTTATCCCAACAGATGGATGATAAACATTCTCTTGAAGAGGTTATATTTTTGATGCATGTACATTGATGTAGAAGCTAAATTCATGGAACGGTGCTGACACAGCATTTGCAATATTTTACACTTGCCTCTTCTCTGCTATGCTCTGTAGTCTAGTAGACGCTATGGGACAGAGTGGGGTACAGAAGGCAAGCCAACATAACTACTTGTAATTACATGTAAAAGAAAATTCTGTTTCCAGAATTTTCAATGCCTCTTTGTGTCATTCAAGAGTAATAGTAATTTTGAACCTTCACTTTCATCTCATGTAATATATCTTATTTTATTTTCTCTACATATTTCTACTGCTCCCATTTAAATCAATGCAATAATACTTTATTAATCTCAAAGGGAAATTCCATTTCTGTAAGAAAGTTTCAAGAAAGTTGACAATGAGACCAAAACTCAAATCTTAGAAACCAAAGCGTAGTATGCATCATAGAGGTAAAATACAGCCTGATGCATAAAAGATGCATAAAAACTCACATTTAATTCACATAAAAATTCATATTTATATATTAAGAGAATCGAGTTGTGCAGAAAAATAATGAAGTCTGTTGAAAAATAAAAAATAAATAAAAAAATCGCCCATATCTTATATATTAGTTTCATTGAAAAAAGAAATACAAGTTTATATAACTGCAGCTGCGTGATACTTCAAAGATTGCAATGACGTTAAGAAAGCTGTTAGTGCTGTATCATAAACATTTTATACCCACTCTTCAACTGTTTACAGTAAAACAGATTAGCTCTGTTGGTAACATCAATGATTGAGCAGAATAAAAACAACCACAAAGTTTTTATTACAGTTCACACCAGACAAAAGCCAAACGTTTGTCAGTCAAACTAACCTTTGCCTGTATAAAAAAACTGTCTTTAGGCAAGAATTTTATGGTAAAGATCACAATAAAAATAAACAGTCATGCAATGGTTTAACACAAAATTTTCCAATTACCAGTGAAGAATCCCTAGACTTAGAGCCACACTCAACTGCTTTTGACCATTGATCTAATCTCTTTCTTAAATGTTTTGTTAGCTTTACAAAGAATGATACACACAAGAAACAGAAGTCTCACCTTTGAATATTAATTTGGGTGGCGGTAACTGATAAAAAAAACAACCTTGTTTTCTTTTTATCAGATCTCTCCTGTGTCATGTGTTTTCTTTATCTTTAAATACTGAGCTTAAAGTGTAACTAACACCATTAAACCACTTTCTGGTTTATGGGGTCCTATTTTGAATTTACTGTGCATGTTTTAACTTTTTCTTTGCTATATCTTAAAAATGAATCCCAAGACCAGCTCAATGCTACCAAAGTGGTTACAGGGATTCTTTGCTGCGGAACTTGCCAATTGGTTTTAACAGACTGTTACTCACCTAAGACCTCAGACATATTTCTCCTTTGCAAGCCATCCTTTCCTCTGCAGCTCTCAGCATTGCTGAGTCAGCACATTGAAACCAGCAGCTCAGAATGATAAAGCTCCAACCCATAGACATTGTCACCCATTTTGGTGACAATAGGGGATGAAAAATCCTTGACCTCAAAAGTTCTATGCAAGGCGTAAGTACCAGCATCCCTTTGCTCATTGTCCATGTTTTAGCCAAGGTAGCACACACAACGCAGGGATGTTACCTTGGCAATATCAGAGAAAAGTGCTCAAATCACATGTTTAAGTAGGATATTGTCATGATCTGGCCTGTTTGCTCTCCCTTAATTAGTAATTCCTTTCACCTGTCGTTTTTCCCTCCCTGCCTCAATTATAATGTATTCCGCTCACCTGTTTCCTGTTGGTTATATTCAGTTCAGCCTGAGCATTCAGTGCCAGATCATTACGTGTCTTTCTGTTAGCCTATCTGTTATTTTCATTTCATGGTTCATGTCCTGGATCCTAGCAGCCAGTGGAAAGAGGATTTTTGTGTTTGTCTCGTCTCCTGATCGTCCACTGTTCCTCCCCCGCGGAGTCCTATGGGTTTTTGGCTCAATATGGGGGGAGGTTCAGTTTTTATTCACTAAGCCTGGCTCCTGGGAGGAGACCAGTTTAAAGTACTGCTTCAAGTTCCGGTTCCACGTCCTGTCTCGGCTACCCTCTTCCACTGAGCCTGCCTGTCTGCACCTGATCCTGTCTGCTCCTGTGCGTGACCACCTGGTCATGCTTCTGGTCCCAGTCAGACTCTGAACCCTCCTGTCCCGGAGCTCTGTTAAAGCCTGGAAGCCTGGATCATGCTACCTATTCTGTTCCTGCCTGATCTGCAACCTGTTCTGTCTGTTCCTGCTTGATCTGCATCCCAGATCAGGATCGGCTTCCCCCAACTCCTCCGGAGCTGCAGCACTGGGGACACTCTGGGTGACGTGAGCTGCGTCAGCTGTCAGCCCATCGACTGGATTGCACCCCTCTAGGGGTATGGACTGAACTGCTAAACCAGGTAAGTGACTCACTGAGAACACCATCTTCAGTCAGATGATCGTGGTCACTTACCTGTGTTTCTCCCCTAGAGTATCTGAGATTGGGCGGTGCCCCGCCCCCCCGCCTGCAGTGTCCGCGAGCCACAGCTCCGCTTTTGTTTTGAATAATGGGTCCACCTGTCCTCGGTTCATGACAGATATAGAAGTGTATTTTCAAGGGATAGTGTTTTCACAAAAACAATCAATCAGATAACGATTTTTCTCAATTTTTTGTTGTACACATTTTTGTGTTTATTGTGCTCTTTCTTTTAAATACTTGATTTCTGTATTGTTAATTTTCTCCTCTGTAAAAACTCAGTTCCTATGTTATTTTGAAGATCAGTCTTCTGCACTGCTGTGTTTAGTTCACCTGCTGTTTGATATTTTATCCTGCTTTTGAGCCACGTTATCGCTGCTTTTTTGTGTTGGTATTGTTTTAGTTTATGTTCGACCTGCTGCTGCTTTCTTCAACCTTCTATTATCCCAATATTAAAGGAGAAGTTCGGTTTTTTACACTTTAAGCCCATTTTCTGTAGTGTCCAGGATGAAATCGAATGATCGACACCAAAAGTTTGACAATTGCTCCTGTCTCTGCTTTTTGGCTCATTTAGAATCACCCCCTGGCTGCTTTAGAATGGCTAGCATAGAGCATGTCCGATAATGTCCTTAAAACAACCTTAAACGTTCTTTTTTTAAATATGCTACTCACCGGGTCGTCAGCGCTGTTCAATGACGTTCCAAAAAAAGTTTCGTAAAGAAAAAACGTTCCTGTAGTGTTTTATTTAGCATTTTGTAAATCCCATTGAGTTCTGTAGGAATAGTCAATATTCCCCTGCCACCGGAAACGGAAATGGGGCCTGTTTACACAGTTGTAGTCTTTTCGCTTCACTCTGTGTACTCCGACGTCGAGGTGCTAACGTCTCTGTTAAACACTTTAAAAAACTCTGAAAATGGAATACGAAAGGTGGATTCTTGATTCTCGACGTTTTCAGTTTTCAGTTATCTGTGTCTTTCTGGTTTGTTGATCTTTGATTTATTTACCACTTTGTATTAAATGTAAGCTGTTTTGCGCACTCTACAGTACAGGACTTATTTTCTAATTTTTTAAATTCTGTTACTTATTCTGTTATTTTTATACTCATTTTAAGGTCCACATTGTGTGACCACTTCTGCTATAACCTGTTGCTGCTGTAACAGTACAATTTCGCTTTCGTTGTAAAAAATAAAGGGAGTTTCAATTTATTTTTTGAGTTACTCTCTATTGCCACCTTGTGCCTGTCTTCTTTCCCTTGCTCCCTTCTAGTTACTTCTATCCACACCTGCTCCATATCAGCTCATTAGTCCATTCTTTGTTCAGTTCCCCATATATGTACCACCTCTGCAATTCCTCATTGCTGGTTTCTTGTCCTTAGTTGGCTCTTCATGTGTGTTTTCCCCAGCATTTGGGTCCTTGACCAACCTCACGTTGACATAAAGTATTTAAACCTAAATCTAATACATATTTGACAGTCAATCCTTTAGAAAAAAATCTTCTCTAAACTTTCTACTAAAAAAAAATGTGTGTTTGGACAAAACTAAAATAGGTGCTTAAGCTATTTTTTTTTTTTAAATAAAACAGTTTACACAAAACAAATCTTAATGTGAAATCTTCTAGTTACAAGAATACATTTAAAATGTATCTGCAATGCAACAGTACATAAGCAAAAAAATAAATATTATAAATCAATACCTCCACAGTCAACAACAATATATTGTGTTCCTGGAGATTGTTCTAGTTTGGTTTGCCCTTGGTGTTCTGCTATGAAACCTTCAGCAGGCAGCTGCTTACACCAGAGAGATGCTGCTTCTGGTTCCAGAGCAATGATAAGTTTTTCTTTATTTCTTTCTTCAACAATCCCTGCCTGGAATATGAACATACACAGCATAAGAAAATGTTTCACAACTGTCCTTTCTTGATTAGATTTTTGAATATGTGTTACCTGCATTGCAGCTTCTCTCATGAACTGTTTAGCTGAAGGATCCCAGATGGCAGGAACTGTCAGCACCCAGGTGAAATCAGTGGCTATAAACTTTTTACCAGCTGCACTGTCATTAATGGTTTGTAATGCATCATCTTTAAGGAATCTGAGAGCTTCAGTAAAAACCTTAAAAGCTGGTAATGCATTTCCATTGGCTGCTTTGATTTTCAGATTCCTGTTGAAATTCTGGACAATAAAATACATGAAGTCAATCACGTCTGAGGCTGAATCCTTATCGTAACAACATACAGTGTGGAAGAAAACATCAACTACATGGAGTAACAATATTCATATATAGGATAAGGTGTTGTCCTGATTCATCGTTGCATCTTCATAAACAAATGCAGTACCTAAAAAAAAAAAAAAAAAAAAAAAAGAAGAAATTTGTTTTACTTACTTTACCGTAGAAGGACATCTTGAAGCAGTCAAATAAGTAAGATTCTTTGGCTTGTTTTCCCTTCATTTTGAAATAGTCAGTTTGGGCTTTATACCCAAAACTGATCAATTCTTCCTTTTCATTGAAGAGGATACAAGTAGGAGTCTTTGGAGTTTGTTGACCAACATCTTCTCCCCACTTCTTTACATGGATATCACTTTTAGCTTCCTTGGCAGTCAAACTGAAGGCATGTCCACTATATGCAGTACCAAAATCTATTGCTATGACGAAAGAGTCCCCCATGTCTAATACATTCAAGCTGTTCAGCTTTGTGGCAGTGAAATGCAGGAGTCACAGCACCTCTACTAATGTTAAAGGGTGGAGTCAGCAAGTCAACCTTTGACTCCTAATCTGAAATAAAAAAAGGTGTGACACTCTGTAGACTCAGTGAGGACAAGACTGCACTAGAGGAAAGAGGATTACACACAGAGACAAGTAAAAGGTAAACTCACTCTCTGTAACTCTCTGTAAATCTGAAATGTGTTAATTGCCTATTATTTTATCTATTTGATTATTTTAAGTTAAAGAAAACATAGCTTTACTTTACTAAGCCTTACTCCTGACCAGTTTGTTTGAATGTTTCATGAGGAAAATAAAATTGTCAGGCGGACCTTAAATCATTTTAATGGCAAATTCATTTTATATCAAACTGAACTTAAATTTTACCAAATGTTCTCTAAGGATTTAAATGTTTAGGTTTATCTATTAACAGATTTACATACAAACATCGAATATACCGTACGATTTTCCTCTTTGACATTAATTGTAAATTTTAGGCATTCATAGGGATTTTTCCTCTATTCTAATATTATTCCATAACTTAATTTAAGTAGTGCATTAAGTTAAATTCAGAATTATTTTTGATTTTGATTAATAAGAAAAACAGCTGCTAAAAATGATTCTTCACTGTGTCGTCATTCATCCAAAATGACTCACTTTTATCTGATCACATGTATGCAGGACTTTTCCTCAGCAAAATCCATGGAGCACAATTTTCTAAAGAACAGAAAAACAATAGATCCTGCAAACAGGTAAGTAGAAAAGAGCCAATTGGCCAAACTCTCACTGACCCTGTCATGTATATCAGTGACATTTACACGTGAATATTTAGAAGTGAAATAAAACTTGTGATGGGATGCACTTCACCGACCCTTTTTAAGTGTATGTTAAGTAATCGAGGATGTTTAATGATAAACTGGCAAGCCAGAATGGTAATGTGTAGCTCTCAAGTTTAGGTCACATTATTAATCTGGGACTGCTTTCATAAAATCATTTGGGGAAAAGGAGGGCCGCTCAGCTTTTGAGCTGATCAGGCAAAGCAATACTATTAGATGTGGGTCACCACCTCTTGCTTTCATCAGAGTTATATGTCAAACCCCAAACCATAATACTGCAGCGTGATGGGTCAAACTATTTTTCTTCAGAACTGAACAATTTAGGCTGGTGTAGAACAAGATGGGTTTATCTTTGCTTATTAACTCCAAAATAGTACAGCTTGCAGGCAAGGTAAGATATCAAAGCCTGTCCAAAATGTTTTATTATTTAAAGCAAGTGAAATTATCAATCACATACTGTACAAAAAAATCACAGGTTGCCCTAGTTGTTTATTAATGTACATAGTTCATAATCATGTACATACCACAAAGGATTTAACCAGACATTTTGCTTTAATGTTGGCAATTGACTGTTTTGTATTTTACATATACTGTATTTACATTTTAATCTGTTACAAAAGACCACCACAGAATCTTGAAACTACTTTTTGCAAAAGATAAGGAATATAAAAATAACATATCTATGACTTCCCAAGTCACTGCCACTGCTGGAGGCCCAATGTATTGTGTGATTTGTTTTTGCAGAGAACTTAGTCTCTTTACCAATCCTGGGTTAATCTTAAAAGGGCTACACCATACCAAGCCCATGTATAAGTGAAAGTAAGCCCTGGAAAAGTGAAAATACCTAGGAAAAGTTTAACTGAAACACAGAAAGGGAGAGAAACAAAGCAAACATTCTAAGATTGTTTTCCTTCTGTAAAGTTAGACCTTTGTGATGTGATAGATGTGTGCATTAAAAAAGAAAACATGAGAAAACAGCACAAACATAAATCTTATTTAAACAGCTCCTTAAAGGTTAGTCCTAATTGATTATTGTTTATTAATTATTATTACCAATCTTTTTTATTTTTTTATTTTTTTTTACATTTTTCATTACAATGAAACATTAAACACATAGAACTTGGGGCACTGATTCGAAGTTAAATATTAATCCTCAGTTTTACTTTATTTGTTTCCTTGTTTTAATCCCATATGAAAAATTTTTCGATGTTCATTTTCCACCATGACAGATAAACAAAGTTATCTTTTTAAGAAGTATGAAGCACAAGAATATCCTGCTGTTTTTTCAATCAAAGTACCCTTATAGATTATTATTGTCTTAGAATACTCTCGATAATTATCATGTTTGGTATTGCTGCAATTATAATAAACAACATTTACATAAAATAAGAATATTTTTCCAGCCTGATGCCTAAAGAAACACAAACATGTTCTGTCGAGGAAAATGGAACATATTTAGAAATATGAGGGGAAAAAAATCATTGATTAATTATGATTTAACTTTGACATTCATGCAATCAATCACAGGTAAATATTACAATGACTTGCAATACTACTAACAACCAAACATGATGTGACATACGTAAGATATTTATAGGTTTAACTGTATCAAGGATGGGTGACAGTAGGGTAAAAATGTGTATAAGAAACCTTCAGACCCCAGAAAGCTGCGATTTCTATAGAAAAAGAAGCAGTGTCCTTCTAGGGAAATCTAGCATACATTTGGAAACATGATGCAGTTGGTTTCCTTTTGGTACTTGGTGACAAACCCAGTCTGCAGGACTGTAGGAAGTAAATGGTTTTTGTTGTATCATATTTTGATTTTATTCTTCTTCTTCAACGATTTCTTGTTTCATTTAACAGGTACAGAGCAAACCAATTTGATCGCAAATCAGAGAGGCCTGATGAAGGGCAGGATCAACATGTGTATGTATTACCATATTGTCCAAGTTCAGCTTTGTGGTGTTTTGATGTATATTTAAGATACATTCACAAATGCATGCTTTAATCACTTTTTATATATAGATTAACTTAAGCATAAAAGAGACACTATCTGTATTTGATTCAGTTCTCAAAGAACTGTTACGTCCTATGTAAGCCATTTTGACTGCGATATCTTGGATGTCTGTCAAAATTTTTAAAGTTCACTGAATATGATAAAGTTCCTCATTGGTTTGATACAAAATAGAAAACACTGCTCATTGTTTTTTTTTGTTTTTTGTTTATTTTACAGATTTCATAACGTGAAGCGTTCTGATATTATGTAAGAAACTTTTTATTGGCCTGTTTGAAAAATGTATCAATAATAATAATCCAGATAGACAAGGTGTTTGAAGGTTTACATTTAGTAACATTTTTTACACAATCTCAATTATATCAGCATACTGTAACATTGTGCTTTAACATAGTGAATATTTACTGGTCCAACTCATACTAAGAAACCAAAACAAAAAAAAAAAAAAATAGAAGATTCGACACTGTCCATATTTAATTAACAAAATTGAGCTTTTATTAAATTTGTATAGACTTTTTATTGGTCATTTTCCCCCCATTTATTTTAATTCTTCAACATCTTTAATAATTTTCCCATTGCTAATCCAAGTTTGGTCTTAACTTCAGCTGTCAAACAGAACATCTAAAAGTGTTTTTTGGGCTTTACATATTTTGGTTGTCTTCATAAATGTAGCTGTGCATAATGGACACACATCTGTTCTTAAGATTAAAAGAACAATCTTGCTGAAAATGAAACAAGCTTGCTGAAACAATCTTAAAAGATTGTTTCAGCAAGCTTTTTTATTTTCATACTACTTGTTTGTTCTTATTTTAAATCTCTAGCTGAAAATGTGAAAACGTGACATTTCTCTGAGCATTGCATGGTGCCCTTGTTTTAGATGGAAAAAATGGGCAGCTTTCTTAAATGTTTTCCATATGGGAAAAATATTTTGGATAATTAACTTCAATATGTATGGAAATGTCCTAATGACCCTCTCCAGATCGATGGTCACCAAACAATTGTTTTCTAACATTATGACCCCTGTCTGTCTTTGTGGCCATGTTGTTGTCACTCACATCAACTCAAGACTGCTGTGTTCAATAATCCTGTATAGTTACTGAATACACTTGGCTGCTGCAATCGTTCTTAAATTCACACAGCTTTTACATTATGGCTTCATGTTTGGCTATTAAATGTTGGCAGAGAGGAATCTCTTGTGTATTTTTGTAAAAACTAAAAGAGATTGAATTGATTGTAGATCTTGGTATGGACCAGGCTAGCTTTAAGTTAAGCTCTAGAAATGAAGAGGATAAACTGTTTTCTGTGATTAAGTTCAGACTTATATTTTCTGGTTTGGTTAACATGTTGATGTAGACTAGATGACTACATCAGAATTTTAAAACGCAATTAACCAGTATGTAATGTATTAAAGATCTAAAGCAAGAAAGGACCGAAAAACTGCGGAAATAAAAAAAGAAAACAAGGAACTGAAGTAAGTTTTTTTTTTTTTTTACTTTTTGCCTTTGTTTCCTTAATTCTGTCACAATTTTGTTCATAACTCAGAGATTTTGATTCTGTATCATGTCAAATATTAAAGACACATTTTAGTTATTCACTTAGATTTTGACTTAATGTGAGTTGTAATACCAGTCTTAGAACATATTGGTGAGAGAACCCTATTCAGATTTACAAATGTTTCTTATAAACAAAATATTATTGAATGTTTATGTGTTCATTTTGATCACCATTACAAAACAATAACATCCAGAAGATATTAATATATATTTTATCTGAAACAACTCAGTTTTCAATAGAAAAAAAAAAGTTAAATTTTTAATTTAGAGATTCTTAGAACATTGAATTGGTAATCCCCATTACTTTGTTTATGTTTGCTAAAAATATTTAATAAAGAAAACCCTTCTTTCTAAGACTCTATTGTAACACATTTTCACTCAAAACTTGCCTGTTATTGAAATTGGAAGGGAAAATAGAAAATTTCAGTCTAAGGAAAATTTGAGTTTGGTTTTCTTTGGTGGTATAAAGAGTTATTATGTCTTCATCACAGTTTATTGAAGATGTATCCTGTTACAGGGCATTACATCTAATTAATAGATGTATATGTGAAAGCTAATGTAAATGTTTAAAATGTATGTATTAAAATTATTAATAGATTATAGTCATTGATAGACATATTTTTTAACTTTTTCAGGTTATTCAAAAAGCATTTATATAGGTGACAGTAGGGTAAAAATGTGTATAAGAAACCTTCAGACCCCAGAAAGCTGCACTTTCTATAGAAAAAGAAGCAGTGTCCTTCAAGGGAAATCTAGCATACATTTGGAACCATGATGCAGTTGGTTTCCGTTTGGTACTTGGTGACAAACCCAATCTGCAGGACTGTAGGAAGTAAATGGTTTTTGTTGTATCATATTTTGATTAAAATTTTATTCTTCTTCTTCAACTATTTCTTGTTTCATTTAACAGGTACATAGAAGACCAATTTGATCGCAAATCAGAGAGGCCTGATGAAGGGCAGGATCAACATGTGTATGTATTACCATATTGTCCAAGTTCAGCTTTGTGGTGTTTTGATGTATATTTAAGATACATTCACAAATGCATGCTTTAATCACTTTTTATATATAGATTAACTTAAGCATAAAAGAGACACTATCTGTATTTGATTCAGTTCTCAAAGTATTGTTAAGTCCTATGTAAGCCATTTTGACTGCGATATCTTGGATGTCTGTCAAAAATTTTCAAGAAGTACACTGACTATGATAAAGTTCCTCATTGGTTTGATACAAAATAGAAAACACTGCTCATTGTTTTGTTTTTTGTTTATTTTACAGATGTGGTAACCTGAAGCCTTCTGATATTATGTAAGAAACTTTTTGTTGGCCTGCTTAAAAAATGTATGAATAATAAAAACATAGATAAACAAGGTGATTGAAGGTTTACATTTAGTAACATTTTTTACACAATCTAAATTATATCAGCATACTGTAACATTGTGCTTTAACATAGTGAATATTTACTGGTCCAACTCATACTAAGAAACCAAAAAAAAAAAAAAAAAAAAAATAGAAGATTTCACACTGTCCAAATTTAATTAACAAACATTGAGCTTTTATAAACTTTGTATAGACTTTTTTTTTGGCCAGAAGTTTTTTTCCACCATTTAATTTAAATTATTTTACATTTCTAATCATTTTCCCATTGCTAATCCAAGTTTGGTCTTAACTTCAGCTGTCAAACAGAACATCTAAAAATGTTTTTTGGGCTTTACATATTTTTGGTTGTCTTCATAAATGTAGCTATGCATAATGGACACACATCTGTTCTTCGCTCTCACTGATCGGAAAAAAAAGATTGTTCCATACTACTTGTTTGTTCTTATTTTAAATCTCTAGCCAAAAATGTGAAAACGTGACATTTCTCTGAGCATTGCATGGTGACCTTGTTTTAGATGGAAAAAAATGGGCAGCTTTCCTAAATGTTTTCCATATGGGAAAGATATTTCGGATAATTAACTTCAATATGTATGGAAATGTCCTAATGACCCTCTCCAGATTGATGGTCACCAAACAATTGTTTTCTAACATTATGACCCCTGTCTGTCTTTGTGGCAATGTTGTTGTCACTCACATCAACTCAAGACTGCTGTGTTCAATAATCCTGTATAGTTACTGAATACACTTGGCTGCTGCAATTGTTCTTAAATTCACACAGCTTTTACATTATGGCTTCATGTTTGGCTATTAAATGTTGGCAGAGAGGAATCTGTTGTGTATTTTTGTAAAAACTAAAAGAGATTGAATTGATTGTAGATCTTGGTATGGACCAGATTAGCTTTAAGTTAAGCTCTAGAAATGGAGAGGATAAACTGTTTTCTGTGATTAAGTTCTGACTCATATTTTCTGGTTGGGTTAACATGTTGATGTAGAGTAGATGACTACATCAGAATTTTAAAACGCAATTAACCAGTGTGTAATGTATTTAAGATCTAAAGCAAGAAAGGACCGAAAAACTGCTGAAATAAAAAAAGAAAACAAGGAACTGAAGTAAGTTTTTTTTTTTTTTACTTTTTGTCTTTGTTTCCTTAATTCTGACACAATTTTGTCCATAACTCAGAGATTGTGATTCTGTATCATGTCAATAATTGAAGACTGATTTGAGTTATTAACTTAGATTTTGACTAAATGTGAGTTGTAATACCAGTCTTAGAACATATTGGTGAGAGGACCCTATTCAGATTTACAAATGTTTCTTATAAACAAAATGTTATTGAATGTTTATGTGTTAATTTTGATCACCATGACAAAACAACAACATCCAGAAGATATTAATATATATTTTATCTGAAACAACTCAGTTTTCAATAGAAAAAATCAGTTAAACTTTTAATTTAGAGATTCTTAGAACATTGAATTGGTAATCCACATTACTTTGTTTATGTTTGCTAAGAATATTTAATAAAGAAAACCCTTCTTTCTAAGACTCTATTGTAACACATTTTCATTCAAAACTTGCCTGTTATTGAAATTGGAAGGAAAAATAGAAAATTTCAGTCTAAGGAAAATTTGAGTTTGTTTTTCTTTGGTGGTATAAAGAGTTATTATGTCTTCATCACAGTTTATTGAAGATGTATCCTGTTACAGGGCATTACATCTAATTAATAGATGTATATGTGAAAGCTAATGTAAATGTTTAAAATGTATGTATTAAAATTATTAATAGATTATAGTCATTGATAGACATATTTTTAACTTTTTCAGGTTATTCAAAAAGCATTTATATAGGTGACAGTAGGGTAAAAATGTGTATAAGAAACCTTCAGACCCCAGAAAGCTGCACTTTCTATAGAAAAAGAAGCAGTGTCCTTCAAGGGAAATCTAGTATACATTTGGAACCATGATGCAGTTGGTTTCCGTTTGGTACTTGGTGACAAACCCAATCTGCAGAACTGTAGGAAGTAAATGGTTTTTGTTGTATCATATTTTGATTAAAATTTTATTCTTCTTCTTCAACTATTTCTTGTTTCATTTAACAGGTACATAGAAGACCAATTTGATCGCAAATCAGAGAGGCCTGATGAAGGGCAGGATCAACATGTGTATGTATTACCATATTGTCCAAGTTCAGCTTTGTGGTGTTTTGATGTATATTTAAGATACATTCACAAATGCATGCTTTAATCACTTTTTATATATAGATTAACTTAAGCATAAAAGAGACACTATCTGTATTTGATTCAGTTCTCAAAGTATTGTTAAGTCCTATGTAAGCCATTTTGACTGCGATATCTTGGATGTCTGTCAAAAATTTTCAAGAAGTACACTGACTATGATAAAGTTCCTCATTGGTTTGATACAAAATAGAAAACACTGCTCATTGTTTTGTTTTTTGTTTATTTTACAGATGTGGTAACCTGAAGCCTTCTGATATTATGTAAGAAACTTTTTGTTGGCCTGCTTAAAAAATGTATGAATAATAAAAATATAGATAAACAAGGTGATTGAAGGTTTACATTTAGTAACATTTTTTACACAATCTAAATTATATCAGCATACTGTAACATTGTGCTTTAACATAGTGAATATTTACTGGTCCAACTCATACTAAGAAACCAAAAAAAAAAAAAAAAAAAAAATAGAAGATTTCACACTGTCCAAATTTAATTAACAAACATTGAGCTTTTATAAACTTTGTATAGACTTTTTTTTTGGCCAGAAGTTTTTTTCCACCATTTAATTTAAATTATTTTACATTTCTAATCATTTTCCCATTGCTAATCCAAGTTTGGTCTTAACTTCAGCTGTCAAACAGAACATCTAAAAATGTTTTTTGGGCTTTACATATTTTTGGTTGTCTTCATAAATGTAGCTATGCATAATGGACACACATCTGTTCTTCGCTCTCACTGATCGGAAAAAAAAGATTGTTCCATACTACTTGTTTGTTCTTATTTTAAATCTCTAGCCAAAAATGTGAAAACGTGACATTTCTCTGAGCATTGCATGGTGACCTTGTTTTAGATGGAAAAAAATGGGCAGCTTTCCTAAATGTTTTCCATATGGGAAAGATATTTCGGATAATTAACTTCAATATGTATGGAAATGTCCTAATGACCCTCTCCAGATTGATGGTCACCAAACAATTGTTTTCTAACATTATGACCCCTGTCTGTCTTTGTGGCAATGTTGTTGTCACTCACATCAACTCAAGACTGCTGTGTTCAATAATCCTGTATAGTTACTGAATACACTTGGCTGCTGCAATTGTTCTTAAATTCACACAGCTTTTACATTATGGCTTCATGTTTGGCTATTAAATGTTGGCAGAGAGGAATCTGTTGTGTATTTTTGTAAAAACTAAAAGAGATTGACTTGATTGTAGATCTTGGTATGGACCAGAATAGCTTTAAGTTAAGCTCTAGAAATGAATAGGATAAACTGTTTTCTGTGATTAAGTTCTGACTCATATTTTCTGGTTGGGTTAACATGTTGATGTAGAGTAGATGACTACATCAGAATTTTAAAACGCAATTAACCAGTGTGTAATGTATTTAAGATCTAAAGCAAGAAAGGACCGAAAAACTGCTGAAATAAAAAAAGAAAACAAGGAACTGAAGTAAGTTTTTTTTTTTTTTTTACTTTTTGTCTTTGTTTCCTTAATTCTGACACAATTTTGTCCATAACTCAGAGATTGTGATTCTGTATCATGTCAATAATTGAAGACTGATTTGAGTTATTAACCTAGATTTTGACTAAATGTGAGTTGTAATACCAGTCTTAGAACATATTGGTGAGAGGACCCTATTCAGATTTACAAATGTTTCTTATAAACAAAATGTTATTGAATGTTTATGTGTTAATTTTGATCACCATGACAAAACAACAACATCCAGAAGATATTAATATATATTTTATCTGAAACAACTCAGTTTTCAATAGAAAAAATCAGTTAAACTTTTAATTTAGAGATTCTTAGAACATTGAATTGGTAATCCACATTACTTTGTTTATGTTTGCTAAGAATATTTAATAAAGAAAACCCTTCTTTCTAAGACTCTATTGTAACACATTTTCATTCAAAACTTGCCTGTTATTGAAATTGGAAGGAAAAATAGAAAATTTCAGTCTAAGGAAAATTTGAGTTTGTTTTTCTTTGGTGGTATAAAGAGTTATTATTTCTTCATCACAGTTTATTGAAGATGTATCCTGTTACAGGGCATTACATCTAATTAATAGATGTATATGTGAAAGCTAATGTAAATGTTTAAAATGTATGTATTAAAATTATTAATAGATTATAGTCATTGATAGACATATTTTTAACTTTTTCAGGTTATTCAAAAAGCATTTATATAGGTGACAGTAGGGTAAAAATGTGTATAAGAAACCTTCAGACCCCAGAAAGCTGCACTTTCTATAGAAAAAGAAGCAGTGTCCTTCAAGGGAAATCTAGTATACATTTGGAACCATGATGCAGTTGGTTTCCGTTTGGTACTTGGTGACAAACCCAATCTGCAGAACTGTAGGAAGTAAATGGTTTTTGTTGTATCATATTTTGATTAAAATTTTATTCTTCTTCTTCAACTATTTCTTGTTTCATTTAACAGGTACATAGAAGACCAATTTGATCGCAAATCAGAGAGGCCTGATGAAGGGCAGGATCAACATGTGTATGTATTACCATATTGTCCAAGTTCAGCTTTGTGGTGTTTTGATGTATATTTAAGATACATTCACAAATGCATGCTTTAATCACTTTTTATATATAGATTAACTTAAGCATAAAAGAGACACTATCTGTATTTGATTCAGTTCTCAAAGTATTGTTAAGTCCTATGTAAGCCATTTTGACTGCGATATCTTGGATGTCTGTCAAAAATTTTCAAGAAGTACACTGACTATGATAAAGTTCCTCATTGGTTTGATACAAAATAGAAAACACTGCTCATTGTTTTGTTTTTTGTTTATTTTACAGATGTGGTAACCTGAAGCCTTCTGATATTATGTAAGAAACTTTTTGTTGGCCTGCTTAAAAAATGTATGAATAATAAAAATATAGATAAACAAGGTGATTGAAGGTTTACATTTAGTAACATTTTTTACACAATCTAAATTATATCAGCATACTGTAACATTGTGCTTTAACATAGTGAATATTTACTGGTCCAACTCATACTAAGAAACCAAAAAAAAAAAAAAAAAAAAATAGAAGATTTCACACTGTCCAAATTTAATTAACAAACATTGAGCTTTTATAAACTTTGTATAGACTTTTTTTTGGCCAGACGTTTTTTTCCCCCATTTAATTTAAATTCTTTTACCTTTTTAATCATTTTCTCATTGCTAATCCAAGTTTGGTCTTAACTTCAGCTGTCAAACAGAACATCTAAAAATATTTTTTGGCCTTTACATATTTTGGTTGTCTTCATAAATGTAGCTCTGCATAATGGACACACATCTGTTCTTCGCTCTCACTGATCAGAAAAAAAAAGATTGTTCCATACTACTTGTTTGTTCTTATTTTAAATCTCCAGCCAAGAATGTGAAAATGCTGATAGAGTTATGATATTTTGTGACATTTCTCTGAGCATTGCGTGGTGACCTTGTTTTAGATGGAAAAAATGGGCAGCTTTCTTAAATGTTTTCCATATGGGAAAAACATTTCGGATAATTAACTTCAATATGTCTGGAAATGTCCTAATGACCCTCTCCAGACCAATGGTTACCGAAAAATTGTTTTCTAACACTACGACCTCTGTCTGTCTTTGTGGCCATGTTGTTGTCACTCACATCAACTCAAGACTGCTGTGTTCAATAATCCTGTACTGTTATTTAACATATTTGGCTGCTGCAATCGTTCTTAAATTCACACAGCTTTTACATTATGGCTTCATGTTTGGCTATTAAATGTTGGCAGAGAGGAATCTCTTGTGTATTTTTGTAAAAACTAAAAGAGATTGAATTGATTGTAGATCTTGGTATGGACCAGATTAGCTTTAAGTTAAGCTCTAGAAATGGAGAGGATAAACTGTTTTCTGTGATTAAGTTCTGACTCATATTTTCTGGTTGGGTTAACATGTTGATGTAGAGTAGATGACTACATCAGAATTTTAAAACGCAATTAACCAGTATGTAATGTATTTAAGATCTAAAGCAAGAAAGGACCGAAAAACTGCTGAAATAAAAAAAGAAAACAAGGAACTGAAGTAAGTTTTTTTTTTTTTTTTACTTTTTGTCTTTGTTTCCTTAATTCTGTCACAATTTTGTCCATAACTCAGAGATTGTGATTCTGTATCATGTCAAAAATTGAAGACTCATTTGAGTTATTAACTTAGCTTTTGACTAAATGTGAGTTGTAATACTGTACCAGTCTTAGATCACTTTGGTGGGAGGACCCTACTCAGATTTACAAATGTTTCTTAAAAACAAAATTTTATTGAATGTTTATTTGTTAATTTTGATCACTATGACAAAACAACACAGCCAAAATATATTAATAGCTATTTTATCTGAAACAACTCAGTTTTCAATAGCCCCTATTCACAGTTTAGGGTTAACATTTAACAAACAGAGCAAACAGGTCAAATTTCTTTAACACACTGTAAACTTGAAAGTTGCCTGTAATAATCAGTTCAAGGTAATCAACCATCTGTATTCATATGCAAATTAGTTCCCATACTGTACACTCATGAGTAGGGATCTAATATTAAGGTTGCATTAGAAATGTTTGCAGGTATTGTGCAAAACAACTCTACTATTTTTCAACATAAGTTCAAATGTATTGTGAATTCTATCCAAACATAGTCACCATTTTGCATATAGGCTGAAAACACTGTATGTATTTTGTTAAATGTTTCTCACGAGGCTCTGTCTTTTTTATTTTTAGTTTGCCACAGTTAATTTTTATAAGAAACTACTTATTTCATTTAAACTGGTTACTTTCCTGGTATGAACCTGACTGAAACATATTTAGAAATATATTTGAAATAAAAAAGAAAAACACCTAAAAAAAATCAGTTACACTTTTTAATTTAGAGATTCTTAGAACATTTAATTGGCAATCCACATTACTTTGTTTATCTTTGCTAAGAATATTTAATGAAGAAAACCCTTCTTTCTAAGACTCTCCATTGCAACACTTTTTCATTCTTAACTTGTCAAATACTGACATTTATTGGCCTGTTATTGAAATTGGGAGGGAAAATAGAACATTTCAGTCCAAGGGAAATTTGTGTTTTTTTTCTTTGGTGGTATAAAGAGTTATTATATCTTCATCACAGTTTATTGAAGATGTATCCTGTTACAGGGCATTACATCTAATTAATAGATGTATATGTGAAAGCTAATGTAAATGTTTTAAATGCATGTATTAAAATTATTAATAGATTATAGTCATTGACAGACATATTTTTAAAACATCTTTTTCCGGTTATTCAAAAAGCATTTATATCTCTTTCCTTCTTTTTACTAACCCAAATACAAGCTGCCTGCTACATGTATATTAATTATATGAATCTTCATTTTAACTAACACTCATCTTATTTTAACGTACAGAGAGGCAATAAAGAAATTAAAGGAAGACATTTCATCCTTAAAAGACAAGTACTACATATTTTTGAGTATTAAATAAGAATAATAAGATCTGGATGTGGCAGTGTTTTTTGTTTTTACTTTTTCTTCTCCTTTTTTAGAGTCGCAAAGGAGGTTGCTCTTTCAATAAAGACTGGACAAACTGAGAGCCTGTACAACCCAGTTTCTCAAGCCAGACTCAAAGAGATGTATGATGACCTGAGGTTACGTTGGCCTGCAATCAAAAAGCACCTAGAGTCCAACAAAGAAAAACCAGATACAGTTAGAGTGAAAATACAGGTACTGATTCCTCTGATGCATCATGATGAATAATTTAAAATAAAATTCTTCAAACTAAAGGAAAAATAGGTATTGAAAATGTACAAGATATGGTTGCACAGCTATAATGCTACGTTCTGACCGCACACTGCAGAAGCAGTTGGTTTACATGCAAAGTCAGGTCACCTCACAAGCTTCTGAGCATCTGACGTGAGTGACATTCCTTCAGAAGCAGCAGCTGCAACATTTGCTGCTTCATGCGCCACATCAACCAATCAGAGAAAAGCTCCACCACATGACGTTGCTGCACCAATGAGGGATAGCAGGTCATCAAACTGGGCTCGAGTGAGACGATGGTAGCACTAGAAGCGATTCTCGTCAACTCTGAGTTCCTGGAGTAGATGGTGAAACTCTCAACAACTGAAAGCCTCTGAATTATCTGGTGAATCCAGATATGGCGATGACGCACCCTGACGAGGGCGTTCATTAAAATAAGCCAAGCGACTCTCTCGATTTTATCCATCATTGTTACAGGCAAAGCTCCACCCAACGAGAATCAGACCCACTTTTCAACTGTGCAGCTAAAGCAAATGATGCTTGAGCTGCCCATCAGAACTAAACTTGTACAGCATCAAAAATGAAGCAGCATGCGCATATTTGCTGCTTCTGCTGCGAACGGTCTGAACGTAGCATAATGCTATAATACAATAATCTTTATTTTAGTTCAGCCGACAAATGATTTAAGCTGCTTTTTAAATGACATATAGTAAATAAGTCCACAGTTCTCAGATTCAGGGAATTCCAGTGTTTGGCAGCAATATCAGCATACAGTACTCTCTGTCACCTTTAGCCTTTTGCTCAGCATAATAAGTAGACTTTGCTCACCAGCATTCAGAGACTTTCTGAGTGTATAGTGATATAAAAGATCAGTGAAACATGGATAATAGCTTCTTAAAATCAGAGCCAGAATCTCAAAGTGAACTCATTTTCCAACCATGAACACAGGAATCAAACATCCCTTTCATCTCCTACTTAAACTTTTCCTATTCTAGACTGCAACTAAAAAGATATACACAACTAGTATTGTATATATGACCAGATATAGTATTTAAGTGGTTGCCCTGTGGCAAAATCGCACATACGTACCATTAGGGAATTACTTGCTGCATTGTTGCTGGTTGTGCTGGACACTCCACTTCTTCCCCTTCTGGGTCTGACTCAGGATCAGTAATGTAGATGAGGGGAACCATTGTTTCTAGCCTTGGTCTATAAAATCTCATTATCTAAATGATAAGAATGATTTTGTGCAAAAAACATAAGAAATATGTTTTGTATGGGCCATAGACCTATAAAAAAATGTTTAATAGGAAGTATAATTGTATAATAAACCTAAAAGCTTAAACAAAAATGTATGCTTTGGAAACTGTTTTGGTTTACCATTATTTAGCTTAATGTTTCTCTAGTTTTCTTTGCGTCCACAAGCTTTCCTATACACTCATGGGCACAATGTTATACCTACTATGGGATATTGGTATATCCAGTCCTCTTCTCTAAAATGACATATCCAAAATTAGTGTGAAAATGACTTTTGCTCATTTTTAAAATATTTAAAAAGTACCATAGATGACAAAGCCTTTGAAAACCTTTGTATCAGCTTTTTGCTATTCTTTTACAATTGGATATTAATGACACAGAAGCAATTTGATGACTACTTACATGTATTGTGTAATTACAATCTGTGTACTTTTCATGGAGATTTCTCTAATTTAAGCTAAATTCTGTTTCAGGATGCTTTTGAAAATGCAAAAAGTAAAGTGTCTGATCTAAGGCAACAAATGAATAAATTGATTGATGAAGAAAACCTGAGTGATGAAGTTTTGCAAAAGGTACAACTCATGAACACTATTGTCTTTAAGTGGGTTATGTGTGTTTTACTAATTTCAACTATTTTTTCAGTTGACACAGCTTAAACAGTCTGCTGCTCAGGATTTTCAGCTGGCTCTGTACCACACACGTAACCATGTTTATGAGGTTTGTTCTTAATTGCAGACATTTTAAATGCTGCCAATACACTACTTAATGTTAACTTACACCATATTTTGAAGCTTCATTTTTTTCTCACAGAAAGTTTTTGATCTTTTTTTTATTGATACTTACACACAAAGATAAATATTTTATTTTCCATAGGTTTTGGACCAGAAATGCACAAGCATTAACACTGAGGACATAATGAAGGATTTGTTATCTGAATGCTCATGGCTGGGTCAATTGATGGCTTTAAACAACCCAACTATTCAACCAGACTGGGAAAATCACACTCCAGGAAAGGATACTTGGCATATACTTCCAAAGAACTTGTGTAGCAAAGCTGCTTAAGGTGGTGTGACCTTATTCCAAAGCACGTTTCAGCTGTAGTGTATAGTTATGTAGCTAGTTCTGATATAGAACCTTTGTGTTTTATGACCTTAAACAGGCAAAGTCATGTTATTAGCCTATACAAAGAGACAAAAAAAAAACATTATTCATAATGTCCTTTTTTTAACCTAAATAGAATTACAGAACCCAGCACACCCTGCACATATAAATGGATGTATAAGCCATCTGCTGGCAGAACCATAAAACTAATAGAATTTGACGCAGCTACTTACCGTATTTTCAAGACCATAAGGCGCACCGTACTAAAAGGCGCAGTCTCAGTTATGTGTGCCATTACTGTATTTAACACACACATAAGGCGCATCGGACTATAGGGCGCGGGTTTTATATACAGGTACATGTCCTCTACTACGTTGAAATACCTCTACTGCGTATTTAAAAATAGAGCGGGAGCAAAACTGAGTATGTTTGTGCTTTATTCATGTATTTATTACAAAGTATTAATCAAACCTGGGAGCTGGCCGTGAGACAGACACATCGCTGATGACACAGAGCGCTGTGATCACTCCTCTGAAACAGTTTATTGAAGCATTAATTAACTTAAAATGCAGAAATCTGCTGGCAGAATATGTTCGCTTTTATTATCCTGGTGCCTGCAGTTTAGATTATTTAGATGAAAAACACCTACCAGCTGCCCGGGTGAACAGCGAGGAGGCGACCCGGCCAGAGGCTGCTGTTGAATGGGATTCCTACTGACAGCGCACCGCTGTATGTGGGGGTCTGAGCGGCTCCGACAGAACTAATATTAGAAGGCAGGACAGTAATTTGGATGAACTGACTGCAATGATTAAGTTTTCAGGTGGACTTTCTCCCTTAAAACATATTAAAACTACTTTATTTCCACTGATCACAGCAAATATAGCTGCAAGGCAAAGAAAGGATAGAGTAGCTCCGCCCAACACGCGCCAGACACACTTTTGCACCGCGCAGCTGAAGCTGCAAAGCTGATTCAGCCGCGCGTCAGAACTAACTGGTACAAGCAGCAAAAATGAAGCAGCAGACGCGATTTTGCTGCGTCCGGTGTGAAAGCAGCATTACTTTGAACGGCAGGTTCACACCGATGTCGAGCGATTGAAGTTCCTTTGTCAGACCTCCCGGAATAACAGCAAGCACAACGGTCATTTGTTTCACCATGTTTTTCACATCTGCTGTGAGATGGGCACGCATGGAGTCACAGATTAACAGTGATGGTGATGCGTGGAAAAAACCACCTGGTCTCCTTACATACAACTCCCTCAGCCACTCTTTCATCATCTCCTCAATGAGGAGATGAGGAGTTCTGCATAAAGAACATACCTGTTCTTTTATACACAATCCACGCACACACTTCCCCCTTTAATGTTCTCATTGTGGTCTCAAACGTCCGCAGTAACAACACATATAGGGCGCACCGCACTATAGGGCGCGCTGCACATTTTGAGGGGAAAAAAAGACGTTTATATGCGCCTTATAGTCGTGAAAATACGGTAATAAAGCCTAACTCTGCTGCAAAACTCAACAGAAACTAAGTTCAAGTTAATCCTCACCATTACCTTCTATGAAAAGATTAATGTGAAAAAAAATGCAAAAGGAACACAGCATCAAGGCCATGTTTTTTAAAGGTATAGATTAATCATTATACTGTATCTATACATAATGTCATTTTTACTTAGACTGTAGGGGCTAATCATGGAATTGCTGTCACTAGTATCAATAAGGACATTTAGTGATGCATTTTTTCAGCAACATTTGAATTCCTGCCCTGCTTTAAATTTCACTTTGGTGACCACCATTGTTCATACTGTATTCTGAGCACATTTGAATCTTGGAAATAAATATCTTTTTGCATGTATGCACTCTGGATCTTTCTTCATTATTTTCACAACTTAACTGTGAGGTACTAATTGGCTTAGTAATTCCTTGTTCACTGTAAAGAGCTCAGATGGTAGGACCCAGAATTCGAGGCGAGACAGACAGAGATTGCTTAAAAGGTGTTTATTTATAAAACAGAGCAGTGGATCAGCAGTGGCAGTGGAGGTAGGCGGGGCACCGACCATCACTGGCAACTCTGGTTAGAGAGAAACACAGGTAAGTGACCATGATAATCTAACAGAAGATGATTATCCATGTGAGTCATTTAGCTGGTACAACAGTTCAGTTAATCTCCTTAGAGTGAGGTAGGATCCAGCTGATTAACTGCCAACGAAATGCGGCAGGCGGCACCCAGTGTGAACCAGATACTGTAGCCCAGAGCGCAAGCAAGAATCCGAGTCGGGTCAGGGAAACCGCTCCGAACAGGAAGGCTCAGAGATCCCGAAGTCCGCAGCCCAGCAAGGAGTGGTAACAGGCAAGTACAGTAGCTGAAAGGCAGAACAAGGCCAGATATCAGGAAAACTACGGTATGCTAAAAGTAGTTCTCTCCACTGGAAAGGAACAGGGCACGCTTAGTAAAGAAGAGACGGAACATGAACAGGAACACTACGAAATAGAAAAAAAACTCACCCCTGGCCTCTGAAAACTAAAACGTGAACTAAGGCATCCAAGTCAAAAACACAATCTCCAAGTCATACTCAAAGTCAATGATCTGGCACAAATAGAGAGGAATAAGTACTATATAAAGCAGCAGGAGCACATGGATAAGATGAGTAATATCTAGTAAAAGGTTAGGCAGGTAGGTGAAATCACCAATTAGGGCAGGTCCCAGAGCCATGATCATGACATTCACTCTCTATGCACTTTTACAATATTGTATTTCCACTCTAATTGTAGACATACACAAATTTATATGATAACTGACATAAGTTAAATAGTAAGTTATATCAGTTATTTTTTTCTTTTTAAGATTACATTTGGATAACATTTAAAAAAGAACTGACTATTGCAATGTTGACTTTTTCTGTGATTGACTTGATTACCTGCTAGGCTCTCTTCTGCCTTTCTCCAATATTTTTTTTTATTTTTATTTTTTATAAAAACAAAACAAAATAAACAGTAGTAAAGAAAGCATGTACATATACTGGTGGCAATTCTTCTCTAAAGTATCAATCCATAATTCACTTAAGATTTGCAGCAACATGCTGCTGTTCAAAATTCAAAGTGGGAAGATTATTAGGACTATATTTGCTAGATAGCAAACGATCTACATCCTTTAATGTGGCTTGAGATGTTTTTATAACTTTATAATGTTTGTAAGGAAAAATATTACTATAACCATTTATCAGCCTCGTCCCTTGTAAGATATAGTTTTTTATGCAGTAACACAGTAGTTTTTAATAACCTTACTCCCATGTTGTCCTAAGACATTATGATCATTCTTTTCTTCAAAGTTCTTTAAATATCCTGTACTTGTTTGATTTTTACCAACTAGAACATGTGTGAATGTTTGCATGTAGGTAAGTGTAATTAAGTGGGCTTTTGATCAGTGACTGTATATCAGTGAAACAAATCAGCAGTAGCAAAGCTCCCAGGACAAAGAGGCGCAAGATGAGGCGAAGATCACTGAACCTCAAATGCTGCAACCTCCCATTTTGCAGGACTTGCTGCAAAGACCCTCAGCAGTAAGACCACACATTAATGAGCAGTTTAGATCCCCAGGCACCAAAACTTGGCGTAGAAGTGCAAGTTACATTAAGCTTGAATGACCACTTGTCTCCCGTACCCTGCCTAGCATCTACTTGTCAAAACCAGACAGACATGTCCCTGGTACTGTCGTCTATAATTCTCTTCTTGAAGACTTAAAATTGAAGCTAAGTTTTATAAAAATTCAAAGTTCTTAAAAAGCAGAAAAAGTCTCAAACAAAGATCAAAAAATTTTAGGCAGAGGCAGCTGAGTCCGGGTCCAGTGTGTTTATTGCTAAACACAACACATTCACACTGAGCTGGTCACCGGTGAGCCGAAGCTGAACAAATGGTGAAGCCAGCTCCCTTTTATACATTTCTTATCGGTGGAAAACCCCCTTCAGAACATATTTCAGTCTTTGGTAAAGGTCATATTGATATTTATTTGCAAATCACAGTGACATTCATAGACACATCTCATTCTTGTGAGAGCAATCTCTCAGGCCATGAAAACATCTGGGGCATTCAAATCAGAAACTTATGACAGTTTAATCACAAACATGTTAGAACACATCCTTTCCTTGCTTCAAGCCATGTCAGTCTGGCCTACTGCTCCCCCCTCGTGTCTTAGTCAAAGCATCACCCTTTCTGGGACCATTAGCGCTCCGTGTGCCTTGAAAATAACAACTCTATTTATCACAAGTTGTATGGCCAAATTTTGCTGAGCTGGGCAACCTTGAGATGTCAAATATTTCATTTTTAATGAGTGTGCTTCTTATCACTAAGGGGCCTCAACCCTGCGTTTTCCTGCAGATTACCCTCCTCTTGGGGCCAGGTGCAACAGTTACACATACTCACTGCTCTGTTTTTCTCCTTTTGGCCTTGAATGGCTCTTATAACAGTATTTGTGAAAACAACTTTAAACTTATAAAACATTAACTTTATTTTATCTTATCATTAGTGCAGATTAATACACAACAGTACCTGCACAACACTAACCAAAAAACAGCTCTTATGCTTTGACAATGATAATGACAATGATATTCTGCCTTCTTCTGAGGAGCATCTTTGGCAAAAATAGTAGGGTGAAAATTGTCTTCATTACCAAATGGAAGATTATACATATGTTATTCATACAATACGTCATGGTAGACATGTCATTAAAATGCAAATAAATGTGGATGCTTTCCCTTAATTGTGCATTTTTCACAAAACAGGGACAGTCAGTGAAGGTTGTGAACTTACAGTAGGAATTGCAGCCTCCATAGCAACCTACTTAAAGGGGTCATAGAATGCAAAACTGAGTTTACATTGTCATAGATGAGTAATAATATTACAGTGGGTGAAATGGACATACAGAGAAGTTCAAACCCCATCAACACCTCCTTTCTATGCAAATCTCACAATTCCAAACCTCCACCATAAAACGGGCGAATCCAAACGAAGCCTAGAGTGTATGTAAACTCGGGGATGGTGCCTTATTTGGTTCTGGCCTGTACTTTTGTCACGCCCCAAAATTTACATACAGACCAGCCAAGTGGTTCACTGGCCCAAGAACATGAATAGAGGTCGCAAAGATGTAAGACACTAGTTTAGGTGTTTAGCCTACAGTTGGGTTTCTCTATTGAAAATGAGCCAGAATCACGGGCGTTAATGCTGTGTTCCAGGCTGCAATGAGAAAGGGAACATTTTTCACTTCCCAAAGCTTCAAAGACTTTTGTCTATC